ACTTGATCTGAAAGTGCCTGGCGCCGGCACCAAAAACCCTAAATCACCGAATTCGCTGAAAACTTGTCCCCAGGGGTAGTTTGACCTCCTGAACACGAATATCACATCCGCTCCGCGCGAAACTGCCTGGCGCCCGCGCCACAGGCGCCGGCTTATGTTACCCCGTGTAATAATAATTAATAACCAAGCTTATGGTTAACCAAATGTTTTATAGAATAAATCTAAAATGCTACCATAACTTACTGTAATATATTACAAAATCCCTTGAAAACTTCGTACCAGGGGGTAGTTTGACCTCCTGAACACGAATATCACATCCGCTGGCCTGAAACTGCCTGGCGCCCGCGCCACAGGCGCCGGCGCCAAAATACCCTAGGTCACCAAATCCGCTGAAAACTTGTATACGGAGGTTATTTGACATCTTGATTACAAATATCACATTCATTTTTGGCGCTGGCGCTGATGGAAGACGCTGCGATCATCTGCGCTCTGCTAAGGCTGAGCCTGACCTGAAGGAAATCACTCTTTCTCCCAGGCTCAGCCTTAGAAAAGCGCTAAATGGCGCTGGCGTCGAAAAATAAATGTCATATTCGTGATCAGGGCATCAAACAACCCATTATGCAGGTTTTTATCGATTTTGATAAAAAAGGGTGTGGCGCCAAATCAGCGCCTAATGGCGCCAAATGGCGTCAGGGCTGAAAACTAATTCGGTATTCGTGATCAGGACATCAAATAACCCTACTATGCAAATTTACACCGAATTTGGTGAGAAAGGATGGCGGCGCCAAAAATGAGTGCTATATTCGTGATCAGGACACCGAATTACCTCTGTGGGCAAAGTTTCAGCAAAAAAATTTTTTTGACTTTCTGGGTAAGTAATAGTTGAATAGTGCCGAAAATTCTTCACACATCGATGGTGAGGATCAAGTATTCCAGCGGTTCTTTATAGACGTAAGTGTGATGTGTTACGTGCATTCTGTGCTTTACCGTCTTGGTTGCTTACAATAAAAATCGGGAATGAATCATCCGGTGTATGCGACCTTGGGTTTGGAATCGCAAGCCCATGAGTTGTATTCATTGAGTTGGTCTTTAGCCATCAGCCCTGGGTCGTACGAGCGACTTTCCCCTCAAATGCCTTTGAAGACGTTGTGCACTCAACTTCGAGGACAGTCCTTGCCACGTGTGAGAGGAACGATTTAGCTCCACAAGAGAAGCACTTTCACTACTTGAAAGCGCGTGAAATGAGTCTTAAGAGTAGTGGTACCCGCGTGCCGTTCGGAACTCCGCAGACTTCTTAACATCCAGCACTTACGCATCTCAGGAAACACGCGCTCAGTGGTGGAGAACAACCAGAAGTGAGAGTGCGCAAACAACTGGTGCGTCTGGCCAGAGTAAGGCGGCCTCAGAGCAGCGCGGGCGTCGGATTCCCAGTGGCACTCAGGTAACACTATTCTCCAGCCTCGTTCCCGTGCACTTCTGAACGGAGGAAGTGGCTTACAGCTGTGGACCCATTTACCTCGCACATGCTAAGGATCAGGATCCACGGAGGTGAGCGTATAGCTTGTCTTTAAGATTCTCCGGGCTTTCCTCCTCTGGATCAGAACGTGCAAATCAGAATCAGACAATTCAAAAGTTCTTCAAAATAGGGAATCATTGAACTGGATCAATAAACGCAAAGCTGTTAATGAAAAGCTCCATGAAAATATCAAAGGGTGGATATCATATAGGTTTGGAAACTGAAAATTTTTCAGGACTTTTGCTCAAGTCTCTTATTTGACCACGTCGAAATTCAACCTAGCTGTGTATAGGCACATCTATGGATTCATTCTTGATGGACTACAACGCGAGTATTCATCGAGGACTTCATCGCGGCTTGCATTTGTCGATCGGAGAGATTTGTGGAACATTGCAAACAGATATAAAATCGTCCCAATCCCTGCCGAGGATGATTATACGAGAAAGGGGTACGCCCATGGACGATGATCGAAGTTGTTCCAGTATTGACGTCGTAGGAGGATGTGATAAGAACCTCTTCAGGGGGTAGTATAGTGTAGTTTCGCTGCGGACGGTCGGCTGTTGTACGGCCTGCGTTGTGCACATCGTGCTCACCATTGCTAAAGCGGACAAGTGACAAGCACTGTATCATATACCTTCTACTGCTGCGCCTTTCTACCACCACCTTTCTTGTCGCGCCGCGCTCTCGAAAAGCAGAGAAGGCTTTATGCCGTGATACTCATAGTGGCTGGCACGCCAATCCATGGCCGCAGCGACTTAGAGCTTATTTGTACTTTAATACTATATCGGGAGCAAGGGCGGTGGGTAAAAGAGACACTTCGCTCATGAATCCTAAAATCTGAAGGCAAGCTGCTTAGGCAGCGTTCATACTTCGCGACAGCAGTGGCGATCGCCGCGATCGTCGGTACGCGTCAGAGCGCGCCCCAACGCTATTACTTGGACCGCTCCGAGTGCTATTAGGAGGAATTGGCTTAATTTCCTGCTTTTTTTCTTTTAATTGCAATTGACTCAGGTACTAGAGTTTGTTTTGACTCGAGGAAAGGTGGATGAAACTTAATGGCTTTCTTTTCTATTTTCTTTTTTGATTCAGGATAGAAATGAGCAAAAAGCAAGGGGCTTCATTTAGGGTAAGTTTCTTATTGTTTCTTTTTTCATTCTTCGAGCTTATACATGAACTTATGAAGTTTTCTCCTCCTCGATGTTGCATAAAAGAATTAGTGTTTCGATTCCTAGGTGAGTTCTTCCGTTTCTTTTTTTCGTTGTTTGAACTCGACTTGTAAATTATAAATGTTCCGGAAGTTGGAACATTTGAGCCAGTAGGATAGTTCCAAGACACTTATATAAATAGAAACTGTTGAGGAATGATAGTAGTAGTTTACTCTAAGTGATAGTAGTACTGGGCGATACCAGATCATTCCTGTATAAAAGACTGTTTGTCGAGTATGGTTCACTTTTGTTCGGCTTCGCTTGGACTCAATAAACGACTACGCTGCATCCGGTTTCGATACAGAACAGAAACAATGAAAACAAAAGAAACAAAGAGAAGCTCACCTATCAAATGAAGTTGCACTTATCCCGGCCTAAATAAAAGGTGAAACCATCTCCTCCCTTATATTCCAGATCCTCTTAGGTAGAGAAAGTCCTCAGTTTCCAGCTAGTAGCCATTATTAAGAGAAAAAAGGTATTACAAGTTGGATTTATTTATTTGCAATTGTCTCTGGTGTGAAAGCTTGTTTTGACTCAAGGAAGGATGAACAAACTTGATGGCTTTTCTTTTCTATTTTCTTTTTGATTCAGGATAGAAATGAGCAAAAAGCGTGGGAGCTTCATTTAGGGTGAGTTTCTTATTGTTTCATTCTTCGAGCTTATACATGAATTTATAAAGTTTCCTTCTCCTTGATGTTAAATAAAACATTAGTGTTTTGATTCCTAGGTGGGTACATTCTATTATTTTTTGTTAATAATTTAATTCGATCTGTAAACTATAAATGTTTTGGAAGTTCAAGAAGAAGAGAAGAAAACAAAGGAAAAAACGAACTCACCTAATGAACGAAGTTGCCCCTATTCTAACCTCAAAAAAGGTGAAACCCCTTCCTCATATTTCAGATACTCTAAGTAGAGGTAGTTTATAGTTAGTAGCCATTATTAAGAGAAAAAAGGTCTCACAAGTTGGATTTCCTCATTTGCCAGAGAGCGGTCCAAGTAATAGCGTAGGGGGGGGGCGCTCTGTTGCGCACCGACGATCGCGGCGA